GATTGGCAGACAACATGGTAGGCTGCTGAAGAATGACTCAGCTACATGCAGGATTCAAGTGTGCGGAAAGCTACAGACCATTCCTAAATCTTCTCCTTATATACTGGGAGCAGACCACATCCCTAAGGCAGCTCCCTGGCTGCTTGTGGCAAATTCCACCATGGAGTTAATTACCACTCTCACCATGGGAAATAACTACATCCAGCTGCCCAGCCACTCAAAACCAGGCCCAGCCAAGTTGACACATAACCTTAACTACCACATTAGCTTAGCAACACTGGGGCACTTCCTAGCTTTCTCTGGTTTGGTGGGATAACTGGTTGGAGTGTGAGCATGGTACTCTGTTTGTTGTGAAGAAGAGCTGCACGTGGGATGAACAGCTGGTTGTTCACCATCTGTCATTGATGCAATGGTGCAGGAACTGGTGGTGGTGCTCACCTTTCAAATAAGCAGTTGGTGCCATAGATGTGGCTGACCAGTGGAGAGTTAATATACTCCTTTTGTTGGATAGGACAGGAAAAAAAAAAAAAGAAAGAAAAACCAATTAAAAAAATAAAAATGGGTAGATGAGGAGAAAAAAAATGGTAAAAATAAAAGAAGAAAAGGAAGAGGCAGAAATGTACAAGTAAAAAGGAAGAAAATTGGGGAAAAAATTGAGAAAAATAAGGGGGAAAAAAGAAAGCAAAGGAAGGAGGGCTTTTGTATTTAGGGTCAGCCAGCAGTCCTGGGAGCAGTGGTTGTGGCACAATCCACTGATGCACAGAGCATGTGCCTGTGGAGGTGGGAGGAGGCTGGCACGAGTGGGTGCTCTCAGAGAGGAAGCTGCTGGTGTGTGCCTCTTTCAGTGTGAGAAAGATCAGTCTGTGACACAGTCACAGGAAGGGAGAGCCACAGCCCCTTGCTCTGTCTGCTTGGGGTGCATTACTGTGGTTTGCTGGCTGCTGAAGAGGTGGCCAGGGATCCGGGTAGGTGAGGATGGAGCTTCTCTAGCCACTGAGTTGATGCCAGCAGGAAGAGGGTTCACACCTAGTCACTGGGAAGGGGTGTTTTTTTGGAACATGGGATGTAGCTCTCAAGTTGCTATTCACTGGCATGGGTCTGTGCCCTTCTGAGCATATGCAGCCATTTGTCCAGCTCCTGCCCAATCTCAGTCAAGTGAAAGGCCACCCTGACTCTAGCTCCAACCACTACAACACAGGCCTTTTCCCTCTGATGGAGTCTCGGCCCAAATGACTAGCGTTTACTAGTGATGAGTTGTTTCATTCCCTGGCTCTGGCCCCCTCCTTGCTCCACAGCCTCCTGTGCTACTGGAAGTCTGACCCATTTCCCTGCACTTTCCTTTCTCAGCTCCAGAGCATGTTCTGCTCACCTTGATTTCCTCCACATCTGTCTACATAGTGTCTTTATCACCACATGGATTCCATGAGTTGGTTTCTTTTTGTATGCATATGATGCCTCTGTGCCTTAAAATGGCCATGCTTTGACCAGTCTCAGCTTCTTCTCCCCGCAGTCACTATCCTTGTTCTGTCTACCTTTCCCATCAGTGCTCAATCTAATGTTTTAACCTCTCAGGTGATGCTCAGATTTCCAGGATCATTATTTGTTTCTGTTTCCCCCGGTTTTTCTGGTCTCTCTTTTAGAGGGATGGACAGAGTGTGTTAGCAGGATGCCATCTTGTCTCCATGTCCCTCCATCCATCCTTATCCTTTCCCTGAGCAGAAGCCAGATAGCACATCTAGGGAGAAGCTGACAGATGTTTGTATCACTGCCTCTCTGTTTGTGGTCCCAGGAGAGTTTTAGAAATGCAAAAAGATTGTCAAAAACATAGCTCCTGTCTTTAAGGAAGGCTACATCCTAGGCTTTTATTTCCTAGAAGATCTCATCCACTGCCCAGCCTTTGCTTCTGTGCTCCTATTATACCTGAACACTAGATCTTTATGTCCACTTTGTGGACATTTGTCCATCAAATGGCAATACTTGGTATCCTCCAAAAGGAGCTCAAGCTCAACATACCTAAAACAGCCCTCATCACCTCTGCCATCTACCATCACCACCACTTCTAAGACCACCCACTCATGTTTCATCTACCTGTATTAATTTCCTAAGCCTCCACTACCCTGGGACCAGAAAAACTAGATCACGCCAGGCTACTATTACTGACTGCTCTGATCAGGATCACAGTAGAAGGTCATGTACAGAAAAGGAGGGAAAAAAATGTAGAAAATTCAAAATCTTAAATCTTAAAAAAAAAAAAAACCACAGACTTTCTGGTCTGATAGAGACTGGTGGAACCTCCAAGACTGTGACCACTGGGCAATGTTCAAGCCTGGAACTGAACCCACTGCCAGGGATCACCTTTCAGCCAAACAATAGACAAGCCTATAAAGTGAACAACACCACCAGGGAGGAATGCACTTTTCAGTATTATCAACCATACAAGACCAAAAGGGCAGCATTTTCCCAAAAACAAAATTCAGAAGGCAGGCAGGGACAGGAATGAAGAAAGAATGGAAATGGGGAACCCAGGGAGAAAGTGGGGAGAGTGTTGCTACATTGAGGGGATAGCCACCAGTGTCACTAAATAAAAAGTGTATAAATTGTTGAGTGGAAAAATAATTTACTGGGTACATTTTCCCCTTGTGGCTTCTGCCATGAGTAATTCCAGGGTTAATGGTGATGGGAATTTATCCATCTAAAAATCTGTGGTGATTTTTCCCAAGCAACTGAGTATAGAGGGATAGTTAATAATCATGTCCTTTCAAACTCTGGTGGTGCAGTGGTTAAGGCACTTTGCTGCTAACCAAAGGTTGGTGGTTCAAACCCACCAGTCACTCTACAAAAGAAAGATGGGGCAATCTGCTTTTGTAAAGATTTACAGCCTTGGAAACCAACTGAGGGTTGCTATGAGTTAGAATCGACTCAACGGTAGTGAGTTTGGTTTTCAAATTGTAGTAGGTTAGGTATGAGAATATCAGGGAGCCATGAGAGAGACTAATGGGAAGACAATTTCAATTGGGTAGTCAGGAAAGGCCTATCTGGGAAGGTGATATGTAACCTAAAATGTGAAGGATGAAAAAGTACCAGGCCAATGGGGCATCATGGGGTTTGTATACTGGAAAAAGGAAACAGCATGTGCAGAGACCCTAAGGGAGAAAAGAGCATGTAGTGCTAGGCCAGTGTGGCTGAGACATAGTGAGGAGTCGGGGAGAAGGGTCCAATGAAATGGCAGATGGGAGAGGCAAGGCCAGACTCAAGCCATGGTATTTTCAAGGCCTTGTGGAGGTATGGGAAAGTGCAGTGGGAGTTATTGAAGAGTTTTGGGCAGGGGAATGCCATGACCTGATTAAATTGACTGAAGGTAACAAAAGGAGGATAAGAATAGAAGTGGAGAGGCCAGTGAGGAGGTAGCAGATGCCAGATGAAGAAGAATGGGAGGTGTTGGGGAAATAGAAGGAAGCAGATTGATTCAAGAAAGGTGTTCAGGATTGATTGTGAGGGACAGAGAATGAGTGTGTCAAAAGAGACAAACATCTAATTTCCTTAGCTGGTAGAAGGTGAGGCCTTTTACTGAGATGGGAAAACTTGGGGTTGGGAGGAGTTCATAGTTATCAGTAAGTCACACTTTAAATACACATGAAGAATTATAGATCATCCACCCATAAAATATGAAAAAGGACTTTAGTTCATTTCCAGATGACATTGGTCCTTTCGTGAACACTTCATCTTGCTCAGGAAGAACCTATACTTTGTTCAAATAGAACAAGGGATACTGCATGGTTTAAAATCAGGAAAGGTGTGTGACAGGGTTGTATCCTTTCACTATACTTATTCAATCTGTATGCTGAGCGAATAATCCGAGAAGTTAGACTATATCTACAATAATGTGACATCAGGATTGAAGGAAGACTCATTAACAACCTGTGATACACAGATGACACAACCTTGCTTGCTGAAAATGAAGACAACTTAAAGCACTTAGTGATGAAGATCAAAGACTACAGCCTTCAGTATGAATTAGACCTCATCATAAAGAAGAAAACAAAAATCCTGACAACTGGACCAATAAGCAACATCACAATAAGTGGAAAAAAGATTGACGTTGTTAGGGATTTCATTTTACTTGGATCCACAATTAACACCCATGAATGCAGCAGTCAAAAATTAGAGAACATATTGCACTGGGCAAATCTGCTGCATAAGACCTCTTTAAAGTATTAAATAGCAATAATGTATCTTCAAATTGTGCCTCACCCAACCCATGGTATTTTCAATCACCTCATATGCATGTGAAAGCTGGACAATGAATAAGGGAAGACTGCAGAAGATTTGATGCATTTGAATTACGGTTTGGTGAAGAATACTGAAAATACCCTGGACTTCCAGAAAAACTAACAAATCTGACTTAGAAGTACTCCATAGAAATGAGAGTGGCAGGCTTTGCCTCACACAGCCTGTCAAGTTGTTGGAAGGGACCAGTTCTTGGAGAAGGATCATGCTTGGTAAAGTAGAGGGTTAGCAAAAAAGGGGAAGACCCTCAACAAGATGGATTGACAGAGTGACTGCAACAGTGGGCTCAGCATAGCAAATATTATGAGGATGGCGCAAGAGTGTTTTGTTCTATTGTACACAGGATTGCTATGAGTTGGAGCCAACTCAACAGCACCTAACAACAACAATGACAGGAAGAGTCTTTGGACTCAACAGCAAGCAGAAATCTAAATCATTGAGAGTCAAGCTTGGTAAGTTCACTGGTTAGATATGAATGCCACTCAGGCATCACTGAACAATCATAGAAGACAGGAGTGAGCTCATTCTTGTGGGCATATTCTGGAGGGAACAGAAGGACTTTAGTAAGCAGATGTCCTTGCATCGGAATTTCACTTTCTGGTTATTATTAAAACAAATGTCATTACATCTGGAATATGGAAATATAAATATTTGGTAAAAAAAAAAAAAATTCAATAAAATCTAATCCTGTCCCATTATGTTTCTGATTCCAGGCTATTTTAAATGGTTTCCTGAATGAATTCACACCAGCTGTAAGGCAAACTGCATCAAACATTGTCGAAGCTGCAGTTGAGATTTATAACAGAATGAGTGTTGACCTTCTCCCAACACCAACCAAGTCCCATTATGTCTTTAATTTGAGGGATTTATCTAAATGTGTGCAAGGTAGTGTACTATACCCTCATTCTCTGACCTGCACCTTCCTTCATTTCCATTGGCCCCAAAATTTCATCACAGATCCTGATCTTTCCAACTCTTATTCTAGTGACTGTAATTCTATTTTCTTTTTACTGTCCTATAGCCCAGCTTTAAGGAGCTCTGGTGGCATAGTGGTTAAAGCATTTGGCTGCTAACCAAAAGGGCGGTGACTTGAGCCCACAAGCAGTTCCATGGGAGAAAGATGAGGCAGTCTGCTTCCATAAAGATATACAGCTTTGGAAACCCAATGGGACAGTTCTACTCTGTCCTAAAGGGTTACTATGAATCAGAATTGACCTGACGGCAGTGGGTTTGTTTTTGTTTCAGTAGCCTGGCTCCTCCTTCATAGCCTGCCTGGGGCCTCTTGAGAGTAGGCCGCACAATGACATAATAACTGTTTTCCTCTTCCTCTGCTGAAAGTTTGTCCTCCAATATTAGCAGTTTAGGCCCAGCATCAGTGAGCTCATTTTCCCTAGAAAACTCCAGAATACTGTTATATTTCTTTAGTTATAGTTAACTGCTTGGGTCTCACTTCATGTTCCTCAGACACTGTCTAATCCAGTCAATTCTTTATCATTCTTCCCCATTGCTCTTCTGTTCCTACATTTTAGATAACTTCTGAGCCTCGAAATTCAGGGTCCATTTATCTCTAACAATGATACATTATAAAATAGCCATAAAATACCAGTTTTGAATATCTTTCCCCTTATCTCCATATGTGATAGTTGAAGATGTGTCAACTTGGCTGGACTCCAGCTGTGAGTGGTGGTTCCCATGATGGATCACATGACTGCGTCCTAAGCAGCCGGTCAATCTAGGGGGAGTTTCCCAGGGGTGTGGCCTACCTG